ACGAACACGAATAAGGTCTTGTTCATGTTCGTTCGTTTAAGTTAGCCGAACAACAAACGAACACGAACGGATAAACGAACGAGATTTTCTTGTTCATGTTCGTTCGTTTAACAAATTACTTTGTTCATGTTCGTTCATTTATGTTTGTGAACATGCTAAACGAACATAAACGAACAAAGATAAAAAAAACACAATTGAACATATATGAACATAAACGAACATATAACATAGCAATATAATAAAAAATAATTGAATATAGATGAATATAAATAAACCTAAACGAACGAACATAAACAAACATAAATGAACATCATAAACGAACATTCACGAACATAAATGAACGAACGAGACCATTGTTCATGTTCGTTCATTTAACTAAACGAACGATAATTTTTGTTCATGTTCGTTTATTTATTAAATAAACGAACATAAACGAACTTCCTGCCGAACAGTTCACGAACGGTTCGCCGAACGTTCAGTTCGTTTACAGTCCTAAATGGAACATATAACGGAATGAGCAATATATAATGACAAGTATACCTTTAACACGAAAATAATAACCATTTCTATCTTGTGTGTTCCTTACAAGAAAGATGTCGTATTTGACACGATCATAGATGAAACAAAAATCATTTTCAGAACCTACGAACAAACTGTAAATATGAAAAATAATCGAATATTATATGGGAAGATATTAAAATCTGTAAAATCGAGAAAGAACCATAAGCATAGCAGGGAAGAGAGAGATCGAGATGACAGAAAACATTTAAAAAAAATGAGGAGAGAAAAAGAACACCATTCCACCGATCCTCACATAAGCATAGCAGGGAAGAGAGATCGAATTGAAGGTGTTTATAACGTATGGTTAACAAAATTCATATCAAATTTTCATCTAAAATTGAAATTTATTACATTTAAACATCAAACTTTCAAATTTGAGCTCAGAGGTAAATAACAGAGAACGCAAAGAACCGATTTAATCAATTGTTTCTAGATTAGGAAAAATAAGCCCTGCGTTAATTTTCAGTGAGCTTTCTATTTATTAAAGCTTCTGCATATGGATAAAAAGAAACTACGCAAGGCAAACGAGAAAAAGAATTGTCTAGAACCACGTAGATAAGCAAATAAGCAATTATGAGCACTCAGATCACAGGTGAAAAAGAATCTAGATGGGTATATATATTGGTAAATTTGTTATATGGAGGAAAGGAATTGAATAATGTAAAAACAGGGTTATGGGAGGAATGAAAATATAATTAATAGATTTGAAGGAATCGAGCGCATTCCTCTTCCATTCCTTTCCTTAATTAACGGTAACTAAGCAATTTCTTGAAAAAACCTTCTAGACGATTTTCTATATATGTAGTAAATATCTAGACGATTTTCCTTTATAGCAGTAAAGTATAATATACTGAGATTATGGTTGACATTATTTATGTTATAGATATATCATAAATTACTGTGTATATTGCATGCAGCCTTAAAAACAAGAAAAAGAAGTTTCGTTATTGTGTTACACGTTTACAGAGTGTTGTCCTTAAAATATTAATTAAGTTTGTTTATTAAATTATCATTTTTGGGTAAGGCAACCAATCTATATAAACCAAACGTTGTTGGCCACATTTTCCACAAACTCATCAACTCTCTCTTGTAAATTAACAAGTGGTTTAGGGTCGTGCCATTATATCAATCGAGAGATATGGCTCTATCTGGAAAGTTAATTGGTCATGTAGATGTCAGCAAGAAAGGAGAAATCTGCCATCTCTTTACGAGCAACCCGTACGAGATAGTTAGCATATCCCCTGATAAGGTTCAAGGCTGTGATCTGATTGATGGTGATAGGGGGGACGTTGGTTCTGTTATCTGTTGGCACTACACTCATGGTAGGTCAAACCCTAATTCTCTTTTTTTGTTCATATGTACATGTTTTCTCGAGAATCTTGTGTCTTTCATGTTTGGATATTACAATATCATAACTAGTTGTATAGTTCAAAACTATAACATAATGACTGACATTCTCACAATAATTTAATTTCTTGGCATCTCTGCATGATAATAAGAGGGAAAGAAGAAAATTTCGAAGCAAATAATCGAAGCAGCCGACCAAGAAAACCACATGACTGTGTTTAAGGTAATTGGAGGAGATCTTGTGGATGAGCTATACAAGACCTTTACAATCATACTAAATGTTGACAAAAAAGGTGATAAAGTGGTGTCTACTTGGACGTTTGAGTTTGAGAAGCCTGACACAAGTGTACCATATCCAACTTCCCTGATGGATTACCTTTGTGATTTGGTCAAGGACTTGGATATCCATAGCACCACTAAGTAGTTCGGCAACTGGTACTCAAAGAAGGAAATGGCAGGAAGTACTCTCTCAGTGTGAATGTGTGCTTTTTTCCTATTGAAAGAATAAACTATCGTCGCTAGAGAATAAATAGAAAGTAAGGTCGGTGTAGTATATATGCATGAATATGTTCTTCAAGATATCATTATTCTTCTTTCCCAATGATTTGTGTCCTTAGAAAGTCTTTCGTTTTCCAAAACAAATACTCCTTTGTCCCAATATTATTGTCCCTATACAAAAAAACGTACAAATTAAGAAAAACATTAATTACCACTAACTTTATTTAATAAAATTACACTTTTGTCCTTGCATTTAATGTTCCAATAAATACTTAGTTGATTAACTAATAATGAGGGAGTATTTTGGTAAAAATGTTATTTATTTTTGGAAGTGGACTATTATTTTGGAAGAAACCAAAAAGGAAAGATGGAATATAATTTTGGATGGAGAAGTAATTAATTATTGTCTTTTTTGGTAAGTCGACTATTGTTCGGGTATATTAGGTCATTTTTTCTTTTTTCGGGTATATTAGGTCAATTTTTTCTAACAAAATTATACAATTGGTTTGTGGTTAATATTTTAAAACTAGCTTAGCTAATTGGTTGATGATATATATATATTTTTTGAAATCTTTTTTTTTTTTTTTTTTTTTTTGCCAACACATAAGTTAATTCCTCTATTGTTCTAGACATAAAATTATTTTATGTGTGTGATCTTCAAAACCCAAAATCAAGAAACACATATCTTGAAGAAGATTATGGAAATCAAGAAATCATTTTTATCACTTGATTAAAATAAATAAATTACTAGATAAATAAAAATAACCTAAAACAGATTCAAATAGAAAACGATAATCAAAATCAAAAGGGGCGGTTATGTGGGGGAGGAGATCGGCGGTGGTTGGATATGTAGGCATCCAACTATGAAATCACTTTCATGAATTGGAATCCGAATAGTGAGATCACGTCGAGAAAAAATTAAGAAGAATTTCATACACACTTAAATAAAAATAAAAATATCATATTTGTCCAGCATAATCTCTAAATTTAATATACATTTCTTCCTTTTATAAGCCGACGAATATCATATTTGTCTATATTCTTTGCTTTTAATATTTTATAATCATTTCATAATCATTATTTTTATATTAGAGAATATTATAGTCCTATCATCTATACCCTTTGTGAATATTTAAAGAATTAAAGCACCATATTTATCCAAAATCATTTTTAATCAAGTCTTTATTTTTAGCGGTTAGAAAAAGTAAATTGTGTTTTAACATCACGCACAATAATGTTTCTAGGGGAATAGCCTTCCATTGGTTTCCTGTTTACAAAGACCTCTTATTACTAAACTAGCTATAAGTATCAAAGAACTTCTAACCCATCGATATCAGGTGTTGCTCTACCTCCTTGAGGTCGAGGGTTTAAGTCTCGATGTGGACGTAAGTCGAATAATTTATAAGTAGTTTAATATATTTTTCGTTAAAAAAAATAAAGTAGTTATAAGTGTGGTGGGATTTCGAGTTATTTTTCTTCCATTTTGTTGTAAAATTTCAAACAAGAATCATAATCATTATCTTTATAATAAGCTTATATTTAAAGTTAAATAAGTGATCTACGTGTGTTCATTATGTTTCCGAATTTACAGTACCCTTTGATCATTATGCTATATGTTACAGTTTGGTCCTGGTTTCTATAACTTCAATAATGTGTTCGTCTGATTCGATAAACATTGAATTAATCAAACTATTTACCAAGAAACTGAAAGTAAGCAAACTTATTTCATTTGCTTCCAGGAAAGGTCTTCCAAGAATGATTGGAACTAGGTTGTCTTCTTCCATATCAAGAACAACAAAATCTGCGGGAAAAACAAATTTGTTAATTTTAACCAATAAATCGTCACATATACCACTCGGAAAAGTCACAATCTTGTTAGCGAGGTAGATTTCCATTCGAATTGGCCTTGGCTCCGGAAGATCTAATTTCTTGAAAAACGAGTAAGGCATGAGATTGACACTGGCTCTTGAATCGACTAGAGCATAGCTTGTGGCTGAATTTCCGAATTGGCATAGGAGGAGTGCCAAGCTTCGTAGATCCCCCGTCGTCTTAGGTAACTTATTCAACATAACGGATGAGCAATTTTCATTTAGGATCACATTTTTAACCTCTTCCATCTTCTTTCTATTAGTGAGAAGATCCTTCACACATATCACGTACTTCAGCATTTGAGCCACTGCTTCGATGAAGGGAATATTAATTATGTAAGTCCCTAAACTCGGATATATCTAGGTACCAATGCAATAGTTTGATTAATGCGTAATCTTAATCAAACTATGATACGAAACAAACAATGAAATATATCAAGAACACGTTTTAAAATGAATTCATGCAATTCTATTGATCAATTGTCGGGTACATTCAATTACTCTTCAATCGTGAATAGACTCCAACTCACTAAAACCACATTTGCTCCAAGTTACTATACACATACCATATTTATACTAAGACCGATAACCTAAAGCTCAAACATAAAAAGGCCCACCGAAAACATACTAAGCCCACCAAGAACCATATAAAACATGCAAACCAAAGCATAAACCACAAAATATAGCCCAACAATCTCCCCCTTGGTTTATTGCTTTCTGTCATCCTCAAGATTTCTCTACGAGATACACATCAGCTTGGTCAAAAGCTCCTGCCCACAGCTTCTTGTCAATTATTGTAGCTACCATATCGGTGAAACCTTTCGCGGCAGCTTCAAACAATTCATTCTCAATAATTATTTGAAAATTTGACAATGTGTGGATATCACGTTCACCAAACTTCAACAAGTCATTGGGATCAACAATGTGATACGGGTTTCTCTTCAGCTTGATCACCACTGACGCAGTAGCCTTATCATAAACCCATCATTGAATTGAATCCAAAGTGGCTTTTGGTAAACGTTTAGGAATCGGAATCCTTTTATCGTGCTTTGTACGTGGCCACATGACATTCACCATGGTTTGTTAGTGTGAGGATCAATGACATCCTTGGCATTTTTAGTAAACGATGAATCAATATTCAAGCCTTCAAAATTATTTTTAGCTTTAATCCCAAGAAAATTCTTAAAATACCAGGCCATGGGATCATTGGTTGGATTGTGAAAAGGTGTGTGGATGAGTTCAGGAAGATCAAATTTTGTCCAAGACAAGAAGTCAGCTTTCTTCTCATAATATTCAATTCGTCCGTTTTTTCTCTTCAGAACGCATATTTTCTTTTCAGCATCATATCCCCACATCATAATGCCAGAGCGATCCCCATATTTATCTGTCAATTTCTTTCTAGTTTCCTTGAAAAATATATTAGGGTGATTACATGGAGCATTTTGGTCTAAATGCTTCATCATTAACATCTTCCCTTTTAGCTGCTCGACCCTGATTTTCTTCTCTCTTCTTTCTTGAGCAGAAGTAGGACCAGAAGATACGAATGAATCAAGATTAGCATCTGGAGCAGGTCTTACAACTCTTTCACTTGTAGGCTGAGAAGTTGGATCGGTAGCACTTGAACTAGAAGCATAAATCTTTTCTCCTTCAGCACTTAAAGGTTGAAATTCGCCACCAAACTTTTGATGTAAGCGATGTTTCAGGTCAAAGAATAAAGCTGCAAGACCACCATGATTTTCTTGAAGTTTTGAAATCTTTGCATCTTTAATTGAGTTCTCTTTTTCAAGCTCACCAATTCGAATGTCCCACTTTCCAATAATCAAATCCTTTTCGGCAGACCTTTGTTCAAGATTAAAGACTATGTTTTGAAGCAGAACCACATCAAGCAATTCAGAGTCAGGTAGCTTGCTTTTGCCTTTAGAGAGGACCAGCTCAGGTGTTTCAAAAGAGTTTCCTGAAGCTTGAGCTCCTTCGGAAGGTATGACTTCTTCTTCAATAATAGGGCTCTAAAAACCCATATCCATATGAGTTGACTCAGGGATTGGGCTTGACATTTCTTGTATCACTGGAGAGGACTCAGTGAATGTTCTTTAAATGTTTTGAGTCACAGGACTAGGCTTAATCGGTGTAGATCTATTTTGAACAGGGTCTGTGATAAGCACTCCCGACCTTGGCTCTCTTCTCTTTCGCTTCCTTAGGAGCAAAGCATTGGCAGAGTCTTCTAGATCACTTCCAGATGGAGGTTTAGTATCAACAGAAACTGTTTGGGGAGGCTTCCTTGCAGTTCGCTAAAGTTCTACAATAAGTGCATCCATCTTTTTAGGGGTAGGTGATGAAGATTGCACCATTATGTCCCTTTCTATTTTAGACATGCTCGAAGGTGTAATAGCTACATCTGTTGGATAAGGTGTCTAAGTCCATAACTATATTTGGTATGTACTTAACCCAAGAATAGCATGGTCCATTTGGGTTCCACTTCACCAGAATAATCTATAAGGATGAACTTTTGAGATGAGGTTATTTATTATTTATTAATATATTATAAGTTCTAATATATTAATATGAAATCATATTATTTAATTAGTATTGATCAAGAATTAATTTGGAATTAATTTTGTGATCAAAAGAAACTAATTAAATATATAGGGATTTATTGTGTAAATCATTCATTCTTATATAGTAGACTTGTGATCCATAGTTCTTTATGTTGGGCTAAACCCATATGGTGACCCATGGATACTCCATGGAGGTTAAAACCCATGGAGCCTAAGGAATGTGGAAAGTCATGCACATTCGGGTTTGCATGGTATAACCCTAATCATGACACACTATATAAAAGATCCTCTAGCACATAAAATCGACACTAGTGAGTCTTTAGAAGAGCATATCCGATTTTGTGAGCAATAAATATTCTCTCAAGTCCTCCATATTCTTGGTGGTGATTTGTGGTTCCATTTGAGGTATTCACATTATTGGTGCTAGGCACTTAAAGCTTCAAGATTTTCAACTACACTAAAAGGTATATCATCTAACTAGAATTTTGTTTTATATATACTCCATTGTATGCTAGTTAGGATGATGCTTTGGAATTTTGAAAGTTTTCATGTATATTAGAGAAAACATAGATCCAAAGCATCTAGGGTTGCATGTACACCATATGAGTGTTAGAATGCTCAAAACCCATCAGTGGTATCAGAGCCTAGGATTGTTATCCAATATACTTGATGCTACTTGCTTTCAAATTCTTCAAAAATCAATTTTCTGCTATCTAGACAGTGGACTCGCTGATTCCACAGAGGAAATCGCCGACTCCCCTCACAAGTTTGACCCACTCGTCGAATTTGTTCATGCACTCGACGAGTTGGTGCTCCAGGGTGCAAATTTTTGAGTTTTAAGACTAAAATTGGACTAGGATCATTATGCTAAACTGTTTTTGAACTTACAAACCTATTTTTGATGTGTTAATGATCATGCTAATCCAATTTAAAAGATAATTGTCAAAGTTTCATGTTTTTATTAGTTTATATGGTTAGGCTAATTACATGAAATTTGTTTTATTTGAATTGTCTTGTTCATATGGGTTTAATTGTATCTTCTATGGATTATTTGATTATTGTATTAGTTAAATAATGTTTTAAATGTTTTTAATGGACTCCATAATTTGTCCTTAAGTTATGATGTTATGGAACATGAAAGGTTTTTCTATTAAAGATGTCATTAAACTCATATGTTATGAACTTGAATATTTTTGACAAGTTTCAAAACATGCCCTCAAGTTTTGGAAATTGTAAAGTCTCACTAAATGAAACTTTAATTCCAAACCCTAGAATTTTAAAAGTTTAAAATTCAACCCTTATACTTTATAGTATTATAAGTTAATAATATATATGTATAAGATCAAGTGAATCTTACCGTTAGTAGGCCTAATTCACGAAGCCGGTCTATAAGGGGGTATAAGGTTACTGCCTATAAAATGATAGTTTAATGGGTGTCTACTCGCACCCACCGCTTCCTTGACTGATGGAGGGTCGTTAGCCGAACGGGTAGGATATGACTATAATTCTCATTAATTATAATGATAATAAAGTAACTAAATGTTTTATTAAATTCTCAATCTTAGTTACTTTAGGAAAATGTGAAATTGATACTAATCCATGAAAATTGCACTTTGCACCTTACCAAGTTGTTGATGGAGCGTGTGTGGTTAAACGACAGATTAACTTGGACTAGTAAGGGTGGCAAATGGTGGATCGATGTTTATCATAAGATCAATGGAGCGTGTTTGGTTAACCAACATATTGAGTGGGTGATAAAGTCGAGAGTACCAAGCATATTTTGCATGGTTATTCACACCTTGTTTGTGATCCTCGGTATCCCAGTCACAAACTTGAAGGGCATAATCTGGATTTGAACATGCCATTGAATTGTTCAATGAATCTCAAAGGATCTAGGAGTTTCAATCTAATTAAAACTTAATAAATATTTCGTTTTTCATGGTGGAAATTGGTAAGTCATCATTTACCTACCTTCAAATATCTTGAAAGTTGGATTACAGCATCCCTCTTCCAATTTGTAAAATATTGTGTTGGGTCCTAGCCTTAATATTTCATTTGGGTGTTTTTGTTAAGGACTCTTTATCTAATCTAGACTTGTCTTTCTTTCTTTTTAGATGTCTTCCAACACTGCTTCTGGCTCAAACCCTATTGGCTTCTTCTCTCTCATGAACCTTTGTGGGAGTGTCATCATTGATGGTTCCAACTTTAATGATTGGATTAGGAACATCAAGATGGTCACTCGCTATGAGGACAAGGAATATGTCCTAGACAAGGAGCTAAAGGAAATTGATGAGTCTTCTGCTACTACTGAGGAGATTGTTGAGTTTAGGGCACATGAGAAGGATGCCACCAAGGTAGCTTATATCATGCTTGCCACTATTTCAGCTGAACTCCAAAAGTCCTATGAGGATTTCTATCCTTTTGAGATGAATCATGACTTGATGGAAAGAATCCATCAGAGGGCTCATCAAGAGAGGTATGAAATCATCTCTTACATGATAACAACCAGGATGAAGGATGGTGAACCCATCACAGGCTACTTGTAGAAAATGCAAAGGTTTTTGGACTGATTGCTAAAGTTGAATGTGAACTTCCCTGAGGAGTTGGCTATAGATATCATTATACATTCCTTACCTCCATGTTATGATCAGTTCCGAATGACCTATCATATGAACAAGGAGGAGGTCACACTTATCAAACTTCAAGGGCTTTTGAGGACTGCTGAAAGTGATCTCAAAGGTAAATCGGTTGTTACTACTCCTACCACTGCCCTTGTTCTGGCAATTGCAGAATGGAAATGGAAGAAGAGGAAGGCTCCCTCAAACATCCTCAAGGGAAAGTCTCTTGATGGATCCTCTTCAAGTAGGACCAAGGCTGGTTCTACTGCTCCCATTTCCATTCATAAAGAAGCAGAGTGTTTCAATTGTCTTGAAAAAGGGCACTAGAAGCGAAGCTGCCCCAAATACTTACAAGATGTCAAGGATGGGAAGGCTAAACCCACCCATGCAGGTATTTATACTATTATATCTAAAAAGTCATCACATACTAACTCTTGGGTACTTGACACAGGTTGTGGGTTTTACATTTGTTCTGATATGTAGGGCCTAAAAAGAAGTTAGGATGTGGAGCACGGGAAGATAAACTTGATCATGGGGAATAAGAAGGTTTAACCTGTCACCAAGATTGGAGTTTACTCTTTATTGCTAAGTAGCGGGATAGAAATAGATTTGAATAATTATTGCTACTCGTCTGATATGGCGAGAAATATTATTTCCTTTCATGGTTTGTACAAACAAGGTTTCATATTTTCGTATGATAATGAAATTGATGCAATAAATGCTTATTATAATGGTGTTTTTATTTTAAAGCATTACATTGTAATGGTGTATATGAAACTGTGAATGTTGTAGATAACTTAGGAAATGGTGTGTTGCATATTTATTCTTCTAATGAATTGGATAAAGCATGCTTGTGGCATTGTCATCTTGGACATGTCAGTAAGACGCGCATAGGCCAACTCCAAAAGGCTAGAGTTTTGGATTCATCTAACTTAAGGTCGGTTGAAACTTGCGAATCTTGCTTACTTGGAAAGATGACTAAATCACCCTTCACTGGTAGTTGTGAAAGGGGTGAAGGTTTGTTGGATATCATACACACCAATGTGTGTGGCCCCTTCAAAACCACCACAAGGGATGCTAACCGCTTCTATGTGACTTTTACTGATGATTACAGTAGATATGGCTATATTTACTTAATCAAGCATAAATCAGAAACCTTTGAAAGATTCAAAGAGTTTAAGAAAGAAGTGGAGAATCAGCTGGGAAGGAAGATAAAGATGCTCCGATCCGATTGAGGTGATGAGTATCTTAGTATCGAGTTCCTAGACTACCTTAAGGAATGTGGAATTGTTTCATAGTTGATGCCACCTAGGACACCACAACTTAATGGTGTGGCTGAGAGGCGCAACCGTAACTTTTTAGAAATGGTTCATTCCATGATGAGTCGAGCTTTGTTACCTATCTCATTTTGGGGATATACCTTAGAGACTGCCGCCAGTATCCTTAATCTAGTCCCAACTAATAAAGTTGCCAAAAAAACCTCACGAGATGTGGACTGGGAAGGCTCCCACATTATACCACATCAAGGTTTAGGGTTGCAAGGCTTTCGTGAGGCACAAGACTCACGAAAAGCTCGAACCTCGAAGTGAGCAGTGTATTTTCATCAGCTACCCACATAAATCCTTTGGTTATCTTTTCTACAGACCGGGTGACAATGTTGTCTTCGTTGCAAGGAGAAGAGTCTTTCGCGAGAGAGAGCTCATAGGCCAATGAGACAGTGGGAGGCAAATTTACCTTGAAGAGATTCAAGATTCAAGTGGTGAAGGAACCTCAAACACTAGTGATCAACCTGAGGAGGAAACTCCTGTTGAACCAATCGATAAGTCTGTACCTTTGAGGCGTTCCGATAGAGTTAGTGTTCCACCTGAGTTCTATGCCTTCCATATTACTGCAGAAGGTGATACATTTATCAGTGATAGCATACTGGTAAATTTGGATGAACCTAATAGCTACAAGGAAAACATGGCGGGACCCGAGTCTGCTAAATGAAATAAAGCGATGGGCAGTGAGATTTAGTCCATGTATGACAATCAAGTTTGGAACTTGGTTGACAATATACCGGATCGTAAGACAGTCGAGTGTAAATGGATCTTCAAGAAGAAGACCGACATGGATGGAAAGGTACACACTTATAAGGCGCTAAAAGTTGCGAAGGGATTTACTCAAACTTCGGGAGTTGACTATGATGAGACCTTCTAGCCAGTAGAGAAAATTAAGTCTATTAGGGTTATGCTAGCCATAGCTGCATTTCATGATTATGAAATATGGCAAATGAATGTCAAAACCGCTTTTGTTAATAGAAAGTTGCATGAGGATGTTACATGAATAAGCCAGAGGGGTTTATCGATGCAAAGTACCATAATAGAGTGTGTAAGCTTGATAAATCAATTTATGGGTTGAAAAAAGCATTTCGCAGATGGAATCTTTGTTTCGATGAGATAGTCAAATATTTTGGCTTTTCAAGAAGTGAGGATGAGTCTTTTGTATATGTCAGAGCTAGTGGGAGTACAATTAGCTTTTTGGTATTGTATGTGGATGACATACTACTTAAAGGAAATGACATCCCAACCTTGCAGGAGGTTAAATCC